TTTACAGTAGATGTGCTAGCCCATGAAATGTCAACCAAAATTTCGAAATGCGTTCTCGTTCCGAAAAGATAAATTAAGTAGTGTTGTAAAACTAATCATGATGCAGCATAAATCTATAATCATCCAGTTACCTTAGGGTGTCGGCATTCGAAAAAACTTATTTTTGGCTGCATGCAAGATCTATACTCTGCAAAAAATGACTACTTAATTAGCATGCAATTTTCTCATTGATTTTCGATGCCCTTGAAAATTCAACTATATTTCATGGAAAGCATGCATAAAAATATTCCTTCTTTTACTTATTCGGTAGAAAATCACGTCTTCTACCAATTCCTTACTCAAAAGAAGAGTATAATTCGGTTTTAAAAAAGTTTCTAATTGTGAGATATTTTAATACAGTTAAATGTTCGTTCATGAAACGTCATGTATTTGCATTTACGAATGTGGCTTGTAAGGTTAACAATATTGCTCAAATCCACTGCTTAATTTTATGAACCTCATATTGTCTCCTCTTAACACCGTAGACAAATGCATGGTTTTCCGTGCACGGAAAATATACAGCTTGTTGTTTTTAATTTTTTGCAGCCGAGAAAAAAGTTCTTTCGAAAGCCGACACCCTGCGGTAACTGGATCATTATAGATTTATGCTGCATCATGATTAGTTTTACAACACTACTTAATTTATTTTTTTCGAAACGAGAACGCATTTCGAAGTTTTGGTTGACATTTCATGAGTTTGTACATCTACTGTATCTATGTAATTTAATTAACAAAGACCTCTCGTTAGTCCACTTGAAGCTGTCTCTCTTGGTGTTTGGGTACAAATGAGTTTGCCTTTATAGTCGACTCAGGGTTCTCATATGATCTACGACCTCACTAGTGGACTTTGCTATGCGGTGCCTTGTAATATGGGTTCTGCTCACTTAAGTAAGAATACCGCAAGTGCAATATTTTTTGACTTTTTAGAAATCAATCCCTCCAGAATTTGTTGCAGGACTATTGGAAATGAATTTGTTGGTTGACGGCAGTCCGAACAGTTAGGGTGCAGTATATGCACTATATCATGAGGTGTTCGCCGAAATCCTGAAATGATTTCCCTACTCAAAAGATTGCTTAAGTGCGCTTGTAATAATAATTGAAGTGAAGCCTAATCTCATGATGTTTCAGTCACGCCGAGCTGTTGGCTTTCGATAGGGCCTCTTTGCAGCCATCTGCAAGGAACTACAAAGTAAAAATAACCGCTTGGGCGGCATGACATTTCCTCATTGGTTTTCGATGTCTCGATAAATTCAAATATATTTTTAGACAACAGGCACTAAAATATTCATTCTTTCACACCTTTGGTAGCCAATTACGTCTTCTTTAAACTTTGCCTTTGAAGTAAGAGTATCTTTCAATTTTTGAAAGGTTTCTTGTGAGAATTTTAGGCCATGAAATTTCTACTCATAAGACATTGTATCTCCGCATCTATTAGTGTTGCCTGTAAAGTATATTACAGCTTCCAAATCCGTTGCAACATTTTACGAACCCCACATGATATATTTTCCTTACACGGAAAATATATGCTGAATGCAAGTCTAACGGCAGGCCGGGTCCAGAATTATTCGGGAATTGGAAGTTTTAGAAGTCGAATTATACTGTTTCTCCAAGTGCCAAATTTAAATAAAACGTAATTTTGCTAATAAACTAGTGAATGAACGAATACTTTTGTGCCTGTTTTCAAAAAAATGTGTTTGAATTAATTAGGCCACCGAAAACCTATGGGATGATGTCATGCTACTTAAAAAACCTTTCACAGTGTAGTTTTTGCAGCCGGCCGGAGAGAGACTCGTTCGAAGGCCAGCATCCCGACGTGATTGAAATATCTTAGAATTATGCTTCACGTCAATCAGTATTGTAAGCGGACCCGAGTTACCTCTCCGAGTTGAAAACAAATTTCGGAATTTCAATTAACATTTCATGATATAGCACATTTACTGTACCTGCCTATAGTCGAGATATGAGTTACGTAAAAGACGAAGCAAAACTACTTGCCGAGTCGCCTTGCCCGAGGATGCTTAATTTTCAGTAGAAAGCGTTGGTAGCCCGAGTCAACTTTTTGTGTGAATAAACCCATAAATATCCAGAAATCATTTTCTCTACCAATAATACTCACATGCTCGCAGTTTAAAATACCAAGAACATCTATTAAGCCAAGTTGTGGAAAACAGGGAGCCAATGCATAAAGGCTGTGCTTTGCATTCGCAACAGAGTTGTCCTCGGAGCTGCAGGAAGCTTGTTTTAGGGACGAAAGGCAGATCAGACCTGCCTGTTAGCCTAGCGGCAAACTGCCCGGCACGCCCACAGGACGTAAAACAACCTTCAGTGAGGATTAGCAGTGATACAAGAAGGCTGTTGGGACTGACGAACAGGTCGTCGCGGACTACACAACGACAGTTCGACCGTCCTTACTGATGATGTCAACCGTGCGCTCCATAGCAGGGTGAGGGCAGGGACGGCGACTTGCGTGTGAGTTAGTCCAAAGTCATGGTAGCATCTACAACACTCTCTCCTCCTCCACCACCACCTGGATTCGGTGTCAAGACAAAGCCAAAATGACTTGAGGTAGTGAGAGGGCGCAAGTGGCTGGCACAGCGAAAACCCGCACCCAGGCGTACTACCACATCATCTGGTCCACAAAGTACACTGAGCACGATCTGGCATCACAACAAAAGTGGAGGACGGAACGGATCTCAGTTGGCGCGACTTGAATCAATAACTGGACCTGCCATCAGACCCCAATGTTGGCATTTGTCCTGGGTGAGCCTTCCTCGTAACGCCTGTCAAACTCCGAGCAGCGCATCTACCGCGTCACGCGTTTGAGGGGTAAAAGACTAGGCAGTAGTAACACCTTCAAGCACGACATGGCCCCAGTGTAGCAAACAGGGCATCTACACAAAGGTCACAAGTCAGAGCGGTATCATAACATAACGAACGCTCAGAGATGGCTCAGTGCCAAGTTAAGGAGAAGGGGATGTGGATTGCCTCGCCCGACTGGTACTCGACGTACGAACAGGGTCCCGGACATGTGATCCAGAAGTTGGCGACTTCATATTACAGTTTTGCAACACACATTGTCTGACACCCACTAATATTCTCAGAATATTGCGCGAACTTAGCAGATGTGTCCTGCAAAAATAAGATATCGGACAAAAATGCCACTGCTACGGGTGGTCACTGGGATGAGGCAATGGGTAAGTACAGTTAAGAACTACTTTGAAAGGTTTCATGCTCTGGTCTCCAGTCGAATGAACATCGACAATGTTAGACCTTTCTCATTCGGTCATCCCAACCATCCACGCGGTCGCCCATCATGTAATGGATACGGGAAGGCGAAAGCAAACCACAGAGTCGCTTCCAGGAAGAAAAGTAAAAGGGCGACTACTGCTAGACATTGTGTTCGTAGAGTATTTGACCTCAGTGAGTCAGTATTTCCGAACAACGCCTACTTATTTCATTTAAGTAGGCAATTTGGGTTACGGCACGCATGATGTTGGGTAGCGAAATGCTCTATGCCGCAGGAAGGCGTACCTCAGACCACGCAATTAATGCTAAAACCAAGTTCATTGTGAAGTCTAATAGTTAGTGTGTTCATGCACCTCCCACATTTCCTAATCTAACTTTTATGGCAGCTCGACCGCCATCGCCGACGATGTCTGCCGCGTGCTACAGAGTAAAATAAGAGCAGGCGCGGCGAGTTGTGCGTGAATAAGTTTGTAGGGGTAGTGGACTTGCACAGCATCCATTGCACTCTCTTCCTCTCCACCTCCTGAACTCGGTATCAGGACATAGTCAAGAAGGCCAAAAGCAGGAAACCATGGATGACCATGCACACGATCTGTATACCCAGCGACAGGGAACCAGGTGCCAGAGAAATGCCAGCACACACCAGGCTGCGAGGGGCATGGCTTGCCGAACCATGACATAGCAGACGTACACAATCCTTAAAGCCCAAAGTCTAACACTTATAGTACTACTTCATCTACCCCTAGCACTGAAACCTTCAGCCTAATCTTGAGCATGAGTTGAACACTTCTACTAAGTTTCATCCAAGTCCCAACTCTATGGTTTAATGTAAATCCTATGCATATTTCTGTCGCCAATGCTCCCTTAAATCTAATATTACCGGCAAGTCTACCATCAACGCCAAAACTTACCGTCGATCTAGTCTACATTTTAATCATAATGCTACCACTACACTTCCCCCCAGCTGTAATTCTACGATGTCACCTTGTTCTAAACCGCTAATATCGTCAGATTTAACCTACCTGATGTGTTTCAAGTATATCTACCTCTGGAAGGTATATTAATGATTTGGCTATTCTTGTTCACAGGCCTACCACATGGTCTTATACTACTACTTGTATCACTTAACGTGCTCATTCACGCAACCTAATTCTAACATTGATTGGTGTTTTTGGCAGAATTGAATGCCTCATTTGGTCTGTTTATGAACAACGGCCGTCTTGGTGAAACTCGAACCCACGACAGCAAGGGTAAGGCTTCAATACAGCCAACGCTCCAAGCACCTAAGCTATCGAAAGCACTAATAAACTAACTGAGTCCGGTAGTCATCTGGTGGACTTTAGATTGATTGCTTAGAAAATTATGACTGGACATTCATATTTCTGCATTAGAATAAGTGGATTACATACGTTGCAGTAGACTGGGAGTATAACTTTATCCAAACGGGATTAAACTGACGGCTCCCGGCGGGCCTCGTAGCTCAGGCGTTCGCTGTATTCAAACCTTGCCCTTTATGCCGTGGGTTAAAATCCCACTGAGGCAATCACGTTTTTCATAAGTGGGCTAGACGAATACCGACGAAAACGACGCCGCCATCAACAACCTCCCTGCCGAGAAGAACCGCCTACATAATGCCTGTGTAGACCACCCCCGCTGACAACAACAGAGCTGCCTTATACCGCAGTCGCCGCCTCGTTCAACAGCGACTGCGCGAGATGCAGGACGCCTGGACGGCTTACAAGGCTAAGGAGGCCCAAGGGTACGCGGACCGCAACAAATGGAAGAACTTCTTCTCCGCCATTAAAGCTGTCTACGGTCCGCCGACCAAAGACACTGCTCCTATCCTCAACACCGACGGCAGTACCCTCCTGACTGAGAAGACACAAATTCTACAGCGATGGGCCGAGCACTTCCAATGCGTCCTCAACCGTCCCTCCACCATCTCCAACGCCGCCATTACTCGTCTACAAGTGGAGACTAACGTGGACCTCGACCTCCCGCCCTCTCTCTACAAAATCATCAGGGTCGTGCAGCAGTTCTCCAGCGGGAAAACACTCGGATTGGACGCAATCCCTGCTGAGGTCTACAAGCACGGTGGTCCCCAACTAATGGATCACCTGACTGCGCTCTTCCACGAAATGTGACGTTACGGTGAAGTCCCACGAGATTTCAAAAACGCCACCATCGTGCATCTATACCAGCGAAAAGGAAACCGCCAGCTTTACGACAATCACCGAGGCATCTCCTTGCTGAACATCGTCGAGAAAATCTTTGCTCGCATCCTCCTCAACCGCCTGAATAATTACCTAGAACAGGGGCTGCTGCCGGAAAGCCAGAGTGGCTTTCGCCGTCATCGAGGGACCAGGGATATGGTTTTCGCCGCCCGTTAATTTCAGGAGAAGTGCCAGAAGATGCGGACCCACCTGTATTCTACCTTCGTGGACCTGACGATAGCCTTCGATACGGTGAATCGTGAAGGACTGTGGAAGATCAGGCGTAAATTTGGCTGTACCAGACGATTCATTCAGATGGTGCGTCAGCTTCACGAAGACATGATGGCGCGAGTCACAGACAACGGAGCTGTCTCAGAGGCACTCGCAGTGACCAACGGAGTGAAGCAGGGATGCGTCTTGCGCCCACCATCTTCAATCTTATGTTCTCTGCCATGCTGATGGACGTCTACCGTGACGAACACCCCAGGATCCACATCACCGACAGTACGGACGGCCACCTCCTTAATCAACGATGGATGCACTCCCGATCGCGCGTATCCACAACCACTGTTCACGAACTTCTCTTCGCCGACGACTGCGCCCTCAACAGCACTTCGGAAGAGGACATGCGAAGAAGCATGGACCTCTTCCCGCCACCTGCGAGGACTTCGGTCTGGTCATCAACACGGAGAAGACGTTGGTCATACATCAACTGCCGCCCAAAACAGCCCCTCCCCACAATGCACCGCAGATCAGCGTGAACGGAACCCAGCTGCAAGTGGTGGGGGACTTCCCGTACCTGGGCAGTACCCTCTCCCACAGAAAGAAAATCGATGACGAAGTCGTCCGCAAGATCTCGAAGGCCAGTCAAGCCTTCGGCCGCCTTCAAAGCACAGTTTGGAGTCCTCATGGTCTCCAGCTCAACACGAAACAGAAGGTTACAAGGCCGTCATTCTCCCGACGCCGCTGTACGGAGCAGAGACTTGGACGGTATACACGAAGCAGGCACGCCTACTCAAGCACTCCCACCTCAGTTGTCTTCGTCGCATCCTGAGGCTGAGGTGGCAGGATCGAATCCCCGACACGGATGTACTGGAGCAAACGGGAATCCTCAGCATCTACACAATGCCGGGGCAATTCAGACCAATAGCCATGCTCGGCCTGGTCCGATGTAGAAATGCCTGCAGGTAATATGAAGTTTCAGTGGTGCTGACAGGGGCGGGAGGAGCAGGTTGCGTAACATGGTTGACGAGGTCTAGAGGCCGTGGAACGACGTACAGGGGTAAAGCGGTGCCCACGGAGAGGCGCGCGAGGGGAGGGGACGGAATTACCGCCGGGAGACTGTAGCTCTCCGTTGTGGTGAGGGAAGTCGATGATGGTGCCGGCGCTACCGATGGTTAGGGATTGGAAAGTGGTGGGGTAGGTGCTATCGTTATATCGGGTTCCTCGTCTGAGCTTGCAGCCAGATCAACAAGCAGGCTAGAACGGCGTGGTCGGAAATGAAAGGATGAATAAAGCTGCATATGCAGGCTCGCACCAGCAAAAAACCAAATCGGCTGAGTGACAACCGCCGAATATCGTGGTCACTGCTGAAGTTACCGGTTGATATTACCTGTACTGAATGGACTTTTGTGGGCTTTCAGCTTTGTACGCAAGTAAAGACGGTGATGGTAGATTGTAAGACCTCAAGCAAGCTGTCCCGCACATGAATTTCTACTACACCTTTTTCAGTAGGTACACTTACGAGGTTATTAAGACACTCCATGCAGCGAGGCCGGTCCAGACACCTCCCTGCACCCAGCCCACGCTTCTCTTGACTTAAGTTCACTGAGTCGACAAGAGGTCGTAACAATACGGTTCCCTACCGGAATCGAGGCGAGTGTGGATACGATCCTGCATTCCGCATTTAATTGACTCGAACTTAGCTCAGAGAGTCGAGAAGCGGTCGTACCATCTCGGCTATCTCTATGTACCAGGGCGAGTGCGGACATCTCGCCGCATTTGACATTTATACAGCCGGGACTAAGGTCAAAGGAATTATAAGGCAGTTGGCTCAAAACAACTTTATGTACAGACATTCGTTCACAGCCCAGGGATAAACCGTTTTTGTTAACATGTCGGTTGCTGCTGCACTGTGTAGGCTTTCGCGATATGCGACAGGAAGATTTCCCATGCTTTCTCTAGCCTCATGGAGTTCAGGCCAAACCACAACCGGTACCGTACTTCATCCACATGTGTCCATATCGCTGGGCCAGACACCGGGCCTCCTTCGTGGAGTTTTCTTTTTAACCTGCTCCAGTACGCCTCAACTGCGTTCGGATACTTGCCTGTAGTGGGGTCTTTAGAATTCCTCGAGTGGTTCACCGAGAAGTGCTTATATCCTTCTGAGGGTAAGCGCTTGTACGTCTTCCAGTCATCAGTTACGATGACACTTCCCTTCGCCACCCACCTCCTTATAACGGAAATCAGGGCCGTCCAGCTCCTATCGTTAACCTGTTCAAAGAGGGCCTTCTTTCGTTTCGTATCATACATGCCGACCAGCCACCATCGTCTCCAGCGTCCGCCAACATTGTAATTTCGGCGGTTGATAAGCGTCTTGTCAATATGTACTTCCACTCCGGGACCTCCAATCTGACCGGTTTCCCTCATGAGGGCCGCAGAGCAGACGCTGCGACAGATGGCGTACCATTCGACAGCCGTCGTGTGGCACACTCCAACATCTTCTTCGCACTTAGAGACCCTTGATCCGCGCAAAAAGGCCAACAGAATCTTCATGATTGTTCCGATTGCTAATCGGCTCTTCTCAAACACCGAACCGCTTCTAAGTGCTTTCCGTTTTCTGCATCGTGCACACCCGAACACATAGCCGTCCGTGCTGCGTTTCCTGACTTGCAGCCGCATTTGGTATCTGCATTGGCAGGTTAACACCGTTGGCAGTAGTCCCCTGGCCTGACAGTACTCCACAATCTTCTCCGAATTAATAGTTCCCATTACTTCTTCAGTATTCGTACGTCGACCAGGGTCCCGTGGTGTAGTTTTCCTTTTTGCTGAGACTGATGGTCTGCAATTTAAGGAGGAAAAATAACATATTAACATATATTGAATAGCTGAGGTAGTGTGCATTCCGAGATAATATGATAAAGATAGAGGGCTCGTCGGAAAAAAAATATATCTAGCCAGTTGCCCTAACGCAGATAATGTTTCCGTAAATTTACCTTTTAAACATCTTCCTGTACTTTTCCACCAGGTATCTTTAATAGCGTGTAAAAGTATTTGTTAATACTGGCATTGCTCCGGCTTCATGCTGCATTCTGAGATTGGCTGATTTGGGTTCGCTATCGTCCACTGACAACACAAACGCGTACACTAAAAATCAGTGGGAGTGGAAAGATGACTTGTCTTTCGTCGTTCCTATTGGCTGGAATCGCCTTGGTTGCCTGACTAGACGTAAACTTACCACCTGCGGCTTATTTCTCAGTAATTGCTTTTTGTTTGTTGATTATCGAGATAACTTTCCTTTGCTATGCAGCAGCGTGCGTTAAGTTTGACGGCCGAAATTCAATTATTTTCTACATTTCCTTGGATTTCACCTCCTGTCCTACGCGCATGCTGCCCCACCCGTAAAATCCTCCATAACCACCATTCCTGTAAGACACAGATCACTGGCTAACGATCTACCTTGGGGTCATACAACCTACCGTTTCCGAAAAGACATGCAAATGGAAAGGCAAAACTGACTGGCCACTGAACAAGTTACCAAGGGAGGATGGGAAAAAGCCGCCTACTTCGTCGGTGCAGAATCGAGCGCCGCAGAAGGACGCTCAGTTGGCTGTTCATCAGTGACGGCAGCGGGAGGGGACGGAGTGCAGCAATCATTCAAAGACGTGGGATGAGCAAAAGTCGGCTGCTCCGGTTGCGTCGTGTCACCCTCCTTGTAGTTGTCATCGTCACCGTCGTCAAGGTGGACGACACAGTCACTGGATTGAGAGACATCAGTATCTATGGGCGCCACCGATCTGGACGAGAAATCCGACTCCAATATGCAAGGCGATACCGTAGAGGTCTCATCCAGTTGTGAGGGGACAGCAACGGTAGTCGAGTTGTCGGAAGGAATTCCGGAAATCGATCCCTTGGCTGCTACAGCAGCAGAAGAATCACTTTCGGTGGGCTTAGAGGCCTTTAGCCAGTGCCCATTGGCATCCACGTGGACCATTTCGGCATCTTTGAGACTCTCATCGGCAATCAGCTGGACGAAGAAACTTAAAGAGGCGAACAGTGTAGGGGAGAGAAATTATGCGGAGTCCCGAGGTATAATTAGATGCTAAAGAGAGTTGTCATGTCAATAACAAACAGTTGAGATTACTGCCCTATCGTGTCAGATTGGAGTAACATAGCTCTGTGTGATGCCGCTTTGGTTCGTGCATAGTCTTGATTCTTCTTCTTAAACGTCAAACACTAGAGAGAAAGTTGTGGGTTACTGTAAGTAGTTTCTTGGCATACGAACATCTCCGAAAATCATCAAATTAAAACTAAAAGCAACTTCCAGCAAAGGAATTCACTTTATTAAAACATAATTACGGATGCGCTTTCTTTGCGCGCCACATCAAATGGATCCACGAATTCGTGGATGAAAGTACATCAGTAGAACACACAGGCAGATGGCGGCCAAACCAGATTAACAAATTCTTAAATGCATTGAGGAGTAAAGAAACTCCTAATCATCCGCCACTAGGTACTTGTTAGATAGAGGTCATCATTCCCACTCAAGTTCAGCCTTCTTGCGCGTGTCGGCAACAACTCGGTTTGACTGGTTTAAAGCCACATGAAAGTATGGACCTCTGACCATAACTGGACAGCACCTTCGCCGAGGCGCGAAAAGGCAGTACTCGCGAGTTAGTACACTCTATTCGAGATGAACAAAACAACTAGAGGTGAATATAGTCAAAGGAGCACTGGTATTTCGAGTAAAAGACGAAATACGAGCAATATCACTTTGTCCATGAGCATAGTGGACAACAATCCTGTGCGCCTTAAAGTTACCGCTGACAGTCAACTGGGTTTGCACCCTGGCTTAATTAGTCTGGCGATTGGATAGAACGCTCCACGAACAACTGACACGGGCACAAATTGCCATTTCAGATGGTTATGGCAAATTAGCACGTAAGATACGCAATCTAAGAAACAACGTAGGGCAATTGGAGATGACAGAACCACTTACTCATCGCGTCGCAGATCGCGAAATGGGGCAGGCGAACTGCAGACAGGACAGGACCACCGAGGACGCCTCTTGTTAATCGTCAGATAGGAGGACAGATCAAAGCACTGCAGATGGTCACAGTTCACTGAACGCACAGGGATCTGCAGAAGAGACAGGGTTCACAGTTAGAGCCATAAAAGCACACCCACTGCTCGCGAACGAAAAAAAATAACTAAAATGTTCCCCTTGTAGGTTGTTCCTCCCGTGCGCCCACTTCCCGGAGACCGTCTGTAATTGCCTGTCTCCTCATACCATCAAATCCGTGTTAAATCGCACAAAATTAGCCGGGCGATTATTCTACGTCGAATGATTCCTCGACTGGGAGGCCTAGATTTAGGATGCATCAGCCGATATCCGGGCCTTCCTCGACTTACGAAACCCTGAGTCATCGCTTACGTCAGACTCGGAAGATCCGACTGCCAAAGTTATCATGAGCAACAAACAACGGCCCCACAACCAAATAACTTCATAACATCCATAAATCCTGGTGACAAAAGGAAGAAGGACTAGTAATCATCTGTATAGGCACATTCCTCAGACCACCACGACGACAAAAACGGCTTGACTTGAAGTAATCACTGGCTACGGCGAGGGAAAGTAGATTCTATGAGGTCCTAGTCAGGCACTTGTCTTTCTCACTTCGAAGGACCCAAAAGACGCTTTGAAACTATCATACAAACTAGCAGTCCTGACTTGGAAAAATCCCAATAAAGAAGTACTTCGGTCTTACTCAGAAACCAGAGGTTTCTTCATGATGCCATCAATACACTTCTCACTTACAGTAGGTGGGCTAACTCATGAAATGTCAGCCAAAATTTTGAAATGCCTTTCGTTTTGAAAAGATTAATTAAGCAGGGTTGTAAAACTAATCATTATGCAGCATAATTCTATAATAATCCAGTTACCTCAGGTTGCCCCTTTTCGAATGAACTGCGTTTCGGCTGCATGAAAGAACTATACTCTGCAAAAAATGACTACTTAAGTAGCATGCAATTTTCTCATTGATTTTCGATGCCCATCTACTGTATGTGAGATCCCAGGCCCTCTAAATATGAGGTCTGGTACTTGGGAAGATATGCATAGGTCCTTTGCAGTACGCATGAAAGGGAAGTCACCGCGTCCATGCCATTTTTAGTCATCTTGACTTTGTCTCGTCATTTGAACACGGGCGAGTGGGCTGGAGGGTTGAGGCGAAACAAGTCTGCCTCACCATACACAAAGCGACGCTGTACCCTCGGGACAGTGGTGGACTCGCAAAACTAGACGGAAACGCGGCACTCTTTTAAGAGCGTGAGTCAAACTGATGTGTATCATGAATAAGCAAAGAGGAGCCGAGAGGGAGCGCATTAGAGCGGAAACTTAATCTGCAGGGTCAAGGGGTAACGGAAAATCAGTAAAGAATTTCCAGTATTACCGCTGAGAAGCAACTGTGCGCACGACACCACGAAAACAAATCATGTTTACAAGAACTACAAACTTCGCAGCAGAAATGCCTTTTAAAATTATAGAGTGACCCAGCAGTAGTATGCCTAAAAAACCCCCAAAAGAAGCTGCATGACGTTTTTCAGAACATTATCGGCTTCTCGTGAAAATATTGTGTGATAAATTGTCCTCAAAGGTCCGTCAGAGGTCACGGTCGTGCCAGAAAACGCTGACATTAACGGCGCAACAGTATTGCTGACAGTGCCTGGACTCACTTCGATCCGGGTAAGTGCGAGGGGGCAGAGCAAGGAAACAGGAATCCATCCATCAGACTGCAAATCATCCTCGGAGGTCAGTTTGGAATTTATCATTGCCTAGGAAAAGATTGCAAAAGGCTAATTACCTACGACAAAAGTGGAAAATGCTGCAAGTCAACTAACTCTTGGGGTTTTGTGTTTGTAGGAATTTTGGCAACTATAGGCCAGGCCTGAGAGGGAACACCGAGTGCCAAAAAACGCTAAGAAACTCGCGGCAACTCTACGCTGTGATGAGGAATGGAGTTAATATTCTAGGCGACATTAACTAAAAATGACAAATTAGCATCAGATGGCAGAGACGTTGCCTTGGAGTGCAAACCTCACTCGATCATTAAGATCGCATAAACCTGCTTCAGGTTTTAAGCTAGACAATCCCATGGTGCTAACATGTCACGAGGCGGATGTCTGAAGTTGGCAGAACGTAACCTTATACGGTCGCACTAGCTGGAAGTTCGTGTAGAGGCTCAAAGTCCGCGGCAATTGTGGCTGATTGGTTAAAGTAGCATATACCTGTCATTTCCAAAGACGTACTCGCGTACTAGTCCGGAAAATCGGAAAAAGGACAAATGACTTCAGCGCTCCATCAGTCTCCGATATACTATAGGTATCCTAACTGACGAAATGTCGTGATCGAGATTTGAATGGGTGGTATGCCATACATTTGGTGTCCTTATTTGTGCTTATTAAATTGATTTAAGACGTGGAAGGCTATATACTAAAGAGGGAGTCATTTCAACCCAGTTTCATTAAAGGAAAGCAGACCAGACTGACAAATCCTGATCTTTCCTGATATCCAGGTAACTTCCTACCCTATTGAAATTCACTGACCAAAACCTCGTGTTTATTCATATTGTGCTGTAAATGAAGATTAACATAGAGAAGTATGAAATAAATCCTTTCAGGTGGCGGAAAATTGGATTCAGCGTCCATGAAAATGAGATCAGGGTGGGTATGGGAAATCGCTTTGTTTGCAAGAAAAAAGGAGTAAATTCAGCTTATAAAATTCTGTTTTTTTTAAATTCGTGACCTTTCATGCCATAAAACTCTGTGAAAGACTTGTTTGACGGTAGTTTGTTTTACCACACCGAGAATTACTAGACGTAAACAAATATTTATATCAAGCACCTGCTATACGCTGTCACTCTGTGGCGAATTATTAGTGATACAGCCGTGCCCAGCAATACGCAGGGTGAAGCAAAACGGTCCACAAGTAAGCAAGACGACGAGATTATTTGTCGTACGCTAAAAACGTATCAATATATGCCCGTTGAGGCTATTCACAGGGAACATCTGTCAATGTTCTCTATGAACATAATTATGAAAATAAAACGTACTATAGAACGTTTTTCTTATTTTCAAGAAATGTACTGATTACCGATCCCCATTCTGGAAGAGCATTTACTTCTGCGACAAGGCCTTATTTTTAGACAAGCCTACGAAGTCAACCCAGACGGTCACGCTCATTTTGACACAAAAGTTGGGTAAAGTGAGTCGAAATGAACAAACGGATAAAAATGAATTATTCAAAATCTGCCAAAACACCTATTAATTACGTGAGTCTGGTAGTCATCTGGTGCATTATAGCCGGACTACTTAGGAAGTCCTGTTTGGGCAGTCAGCTTACTGCATTAGATTTGATGGATTCCGGACGTTGCAGTAGGCTGGGAGGGTGGCTTGACCCAAATGTGATTAAACTCACGGCTCTCGGTGGGGCCTCCTAGCTCAGTGGCTAGTGTTGGCTGTACTAAAGCCTTCCTCTTTCTGTCGTAAGTTCGAATCCCACCGAGACGCCGAGCTCTTCACAGTTGGGTCAAATGAGTTTTCAGAGTAGATATCAAATTTACATACCATAAACCAGTGTCGAAGAGAACTCACTAGAGTCTCAGAAGCCGCGATCACGCGATCAGAAGACATACAAAAATCGTAAACACCAACAAGAGCTTCTGGGGTCTCCGACGGCAAGCGAGGAAGCTTGCAATCCGGAGGAGGGTCTGCGACTGGTTCGCCAGCAACAGCCGAC